TTCACTTGCCCTGAATGCAGAACATGCTTTCCAGAGAGACCCAAACTTAGCAAAACCGTCCATCTTGAAAACCTGGTAGAGCTGCTGAAACTGGAAGAAGTGCCCCCAGGGGTCCCAGAAGTGGAGATGAGGAAGGCAGTTGATTCTCAGGCAAGGAAATGCCCCAGTCATGGCCGGCCCTTGGAGCTTTACTGTGTAACTGAGAAACGCTGCATCTGCTGTGTGTGCACCGTGAGAAGCTGCCAAAAGCACAAGAGGGCTCTCTTCGAAGAGGGACGGAAAGCTCAAGAAGTAAGCAGGGTGGCAGAGTCAAGACTAGCGGCTGGTGGGCTAATAGAATTCATCCTATAGCTTATACAGCCCAAATGTACAGAGGCTAAGGCGTGTCTAATGCTAAATGGAACTAGGCGTGGTTTTCTCTGAACAGATAGTCCTCAACTTATGATCATTTGTTCAGCAAACGTACAAGTTACGGTGGTGTGGAACAATGGGACTTGGGACTGGTGACTAAAGTTACAATGCAGTGCCCCCAAGGTCATGTAATTGTTTTCCGAGATTGAATAACAGGGCTCTTGGGCCTCTGGGGAAGAGGATTCTACATTGCAGGGGTAACCACAGAGAAGGTCTGTCATCTGGTCCACAAATCATGTACAGTTTGAAATGGGTAATGGTTATGCTTTGATGCTATCTCACAAGAGATATGATCCTGAAGGTTTTGCTAAATCCAAACTATTACCATGGTTCAATATGAATGTGAGCGAACCCAATTGGCCCATATACCATCACATTTTTCTTGAGCCCATTGCTCTTTCTGAAGTGGATAAGCATTTCCAGGACCTTGGTCATCTTGTTTCAATATAGCACAATGGCAGCAAGGTGATATTACTACCGTAGAGCTGTGGGACCTCTGCAAAAGATTACATGGGTAATACTTTGGTGTATTTCTTTAGATATTTCTTCCAATGTGAGTAGACCGACGTGAATATGCCAAGTGAAGTATTCTCTATAGGGCTGGAAGGATCAAGGAAAGTATGAAACAATTGCCCATTTGAACTTCTAGTCTCCTTTGACAGGAGTCAATCAAGGAAACCTTGGAAGAAAAACGGAAAGCGGCAGAAAGAATTGCGGCAGAAATACAGAAACTGGAGCAGCAGATGAACCATGTTAGAGTAAGTCCTGTAGAAATAGTTTGTGCTTCGGCAGTGCTCATTTTAATCGCTCTTGTGGCAGCTGCTGAATAAACAGAGGTGGTCATTTCCTCCTCATTACTAGCTTGTGTCCACAAAGTAAAGGTCAGTACCCCTTCCATTGTCTTCCCTCTGCATTTTATTTTATTGCCATATGGTACTTTAAGAAAAGTGGACATTAACTGCTATGAGGATAACTTGATGTTTTGAATGTTGGCTTCCTACAGGTTTTCTCAATGAAGTTCAGTTCAGGAAATTTGCAAAAGTTTGATCATCTCGTGGAAACCCTAAAAGAATGCCAGAAGAAGGTGTTGAAGATGGCAACAAGTGAGCATGCTGCTTTGCTAAAGCAAATGGAGGAGAACCGGAATTGCCTACAGCATCATTTGGAGACTGTCACGCAATACAACAGGACAGCGGAAGGGCTGCTGAGCTGTGCGGATGATATTGTGTTTCTTGAAGTGGGTAAAAAAATGTGTGTCTCTGTGCATTGGGAGAACGTTGCTGTCATTGTATGCTTAATACAGTTTCTTTGCCAGAACATACAATTGGGATCAGAGTATCAAAAGCCAGCAACTTCAGAGGCCTCCAGTTGGGTTTTCTTTACCCTGTACATGCATTTGAAATGCTGAGAGCCTGTTATGAACACTAGCACAAATAGCTTAAAAGAGTTGCCATAATAGGAATGTGGTTACTAGAGGCTGAATCAGTGAGATTATCTCCTAAAGTTCTTTCTGGTCTCAGGACATCTCTTAGTCCTCCCTCCCTCCCTCCCTCCCTCCCTCCCTCCCTCTCTCTCTCTCTCTCTCTCTCTCTTTTCCATTGGGACCACCACTGCTAGTTTATGCAATATTCTTTCAACTTCAATTTTTAGATTTTAATCATTTTGTGATCTTCTCCAATTAGAATAGAATAGAATAGAATAGAATAGAATAGAATAGAATAGAATAGAATAGAATAGAATAGAATAGAATAGAAGCTGGAAGGGACCTTGGAGGTCTTCTAGTCCAGCCCCCTGGTCAAGCAGGAGAACCTATACCATCTCAGACAGGTGATTGTCTAGTCTCTTCTTAAAAATCTCCAGTGATGGAGCGCCCACGATTTCTTTGCCTTCTGTTCTTCTATCTCCTGGTATTGCCACATCAATTATCCACACGTCTTTTTTTTTCAACCACATTAAATCTGGTGTATTATGCACCAAGATTTTATCAGTTTGTATTTAGAAATCCCACAATGTTTTAACCTGCTCATTTTTGACTATTTTTTTCAACTATATGTTCCCACCAATTTTTTATTGCTGGCAAGTGATAATTTTTACAGATGTTCTGGTGAATCATTTTGCTGACTGTGTTATGTCATTTATAGTCACCTTGCGTGTTCTTTTTGCACAGCTGAGTATATGATCTGGTTGGTCGCCAGAGGTTTATATTGGATTTGGCAAGTTTGTCCACCTATTGAATCCTTACCAAGGATCTAAGAGGCAGATTTGTTGTTTAATAATGTTATAGGTGTCATGTAAGTTGTTCTAAGTAAAGCTGCCTTTTGCAATTGACTGATGGAGATTTGTCAATGCTGCTGGTGTTTAGTGGTGTTCCAGGTGTTTTAGAATTGCACCCAAGGTTTCTATTCCTATTAGTATTATTTTGCTTTCTTTTGCCACAGTTGTTCTACTTCTATTTACAGATCTTTATATTTTATGATTTTCTCCAGTTCTTTCTCTTCTGTTCTGCTGTCTATTACTTTGTCTGTTTCATAATCCCACCAGTTCTTACTTACAGGCAAATTTATTTTATTTTTTTATTTTATTTATTAAACTTATATGCTGCCCATCTTGCCAGAGGCAACTTACAAACATTGGATAAAATGCAGAATAAGATCTTAATTTTGGATAAAATGCAGAATAAGATCTTACTTTTTTGGGATAAAATGCAGAATAAGATCTTTCTTTTAATGAATTAAAATGAAACTAAGCAGGATGGAGAGAGAGGGCACAAAATGCAATGATATTGTTGCTACGTTGTTGTGCTGTGGTTTATAGTCAATCTGTGAGATCCTCTTGCAGCTGCTAACCAGTGGTCCATGGTTTATTCAATTTCTTTGCAGAGTTGGCATTTGCTATCTGTTGCTATCTTCTCAATTCTGGTTTTATATGCATTTGTTCTTAAAGCTTGATCTTGTGTAGCCAGAATTAGATTCTATCTTTTTCTTCAAATTTCCTGCTCCTAGGCAATACTAGATTTTGTTTTATGTGCTTTGACTGCTAGGTTGTTTTTGTTTTATGTACTGGCTATGTAATACTTTGTCTTGCCATATGTCTTTTTTATTCCTCATTTGGTCTTTCTTGTAAACCAGTTTGGTTTCCTTAATATTCAATACACCTTCATGGTGTAGCTTCGATGCATCTTCTTCACTGTGCTCTTGCTATATTTTAGGTTATCTATCTTTGCACTAGCAGAATAATTATTTTCTATTTTTTGCAGGAGCAACATCTCCTCGCTCCACCTAGTAAATTGGAAGCTCCTCCAGTCATTCAATTTGATTTGGATAACAGTGCACATACCGTCACCAAGTTCTTCACTGAATTCTTCAGGGTTTTGGAGGAACTTCAGTCAAATCTTTTGAATCCACAAATAGCTGGCAGAAAAAGTAATTATCAAGCTGTTTTATAGGCAATGAAAAAATCGGGTCACACTTGACAGGTCAATTTCCTGGCAGATATATAAGAATCTGGTAGCACTTTTTTAAAAATCTCAATCTAGTCACACTATACATCCAATGAAGTGAGTTGCAGCTAGGACAAGCTCATGCCTTTGAATAAAATGTGTTAGCTGGAAAAGGTTAGTTACCAGATTTCTCCTTATTTTGTGCTACCTTAGACTAATATGGCTTTCCTCCAAAGTCTGGGAAGTGCACGAAGCATATTACAATAAAGTAGGGATTGGCAGCTTTGTTGATGGCGGGAGGCACACTTTTTGTATTGGCCTTTATGTCATGGCCCAAGCCAACTTCTTTGGCTCTTCTTTCCTTTGCAAAGAGGTTGGGTGAATTCAAGGAGTGGAACGTGTGCCTTACATGTGACTTAAGCATCTTTTCCCCTTTACGTTTCACTGAAAAAAGAAAACACTGGACATTTTGCTATGTTTGGATTGGTAAAGGAGAGAAATGAGTACCTTCACTCCTAAACCCTTTATGTCTTCACCCCACAAGAACAGAATAAATTTTTTAGCTCTGCTCATTTAGTTCTCTCCAGCTATATACTGGAGGCTGCAAAGGGAGCATCAGAAGAGCTGCATAGGGCACATGCACTACTGTTAGCTGCCTACCACAGCTGTGAAAAATTTTTTTTCAATATAATTGTTTGCGTTCGAGGATAATACTGTAAGAATAATAGGAAAATTAGTCCTGTTTCAACTAGCCTATTCAAAGAAACTCAATTTATATAGTAAGAATGATTTAACTGGATGCCCACTCCCCACAATAGTCTGCAAAGTCCAGATCGCTTAAGAGATTTTTAAAATGTGTTTTCACAAAGAAGATGTAATTCAGAGACAGCAACTCACCTAGATTTGTCACTTAAAAACAAATCTGTAGTAACTTTCAAATTCATACGTTTCTTCCTTTTTCATTTTCAATATCAAACAGATCACGTTTCTGTTCTTTTTCTTGAGTGATTAATATAATCAAAGATGGGATTTTCCTGAGTGTCATTGTGGATTTTGTTGATTTATTTCACATTTGTTCCTGTTCAAAGCTACAAGCATGTATGTAGCACAGAATGGCTTTTACAGGTGTTATTTAATCATTAGAATTTTTTTTTTTAATTTTTTTTTTCCTTCTAACTATTTTTCCACAAGTGCAGGGTCTGCTTTTTTTTTCTGGATCAACCAAGTGTTGATCCAATGGTTGCAACAGAAATTGACCGACCAACTGGTTGCTTGAGCCTGATGTTGTGGGCTGAAAGAGAGCGACTGGCCCAAAGTCACCCAGCTTTCTTTCATGTCTAGGGTAGGACTTGAACTCACAATCTCCTGGTGTCTAGTGTTAACTACCAGGCCATACGGTCTTTTCTGTTATTTTGCATAGTTATTATTCTATTACCATTTGGAGATTTTTGAAGTTTGCTTTCTTCCTGCCGTTGAATTTTTCTTCTCTGTATTGCATTCTGCAGTCAGACTTGAGCCAAACGTATTTGTGAAGAGGATGCCTGGACTTTATCTCTTAGAGAATGAACTAAGGACAAAGCTTCTAAAGGGTAAGAAACTGGGCTAATAAGTGGGGTCTCATTCTTCAATATACACAAAGATGTCTCCTACTGATCCTGTTTCGACAGTGAATGCACTATTTCTTCCAGCAATTTTAGTTACAATCCTAAAAGGAATTTATATAGTTCCCAAAAGATAAGAGTGGGACAGCAATACAATGTTATACAACAGTGGTGGCGAACCTATGGCACGAGTGCCAGAGGTGGCACTCGGAGCCCTCTCTGAGGGCACACGTGCCATCGCCCCAGCCCACCTCCCCCTGCAGCCCTCTCCACACCAGCAGCCACCCCGGAGGAGAGTCGCCCCCAGGCACAGCCCGCCTGGAGCAGCACAGGCAAGGACATGGCAACCAGGCAGTGGGGACAAGACGGGGACTTTTGCGCCCTGTCGCAAAAAGTTGATGCTGCGGGGCACGGCTGGAAGGCGTGGCCACTATGGCTCTGCTGAGCCGCCTGGGCGATCTGTGGCGGGCCGTGGAGGTGGTGGGTGGCCCTGCAGGTGGGTGGGGGCGGGGCAAGGGTGGAGCGGGGGCGGTGCTGTGCGGGGCAGTTTTGGGGCACTCAGTCTCTAAAAGGTTCGCCATCACTGTTATACAAGATACAGCTCCCTCTCTTTTAAAAGAAGAAAAACAAACTCATGTTGATTCTTCTGTTTGGTAATTCTGAAAAAAAGACCTCAGAAAAAGATCTCACACTCCTTTCCTACGGAAAACCTGCTTCCTTAATACAAAAAGGCTGCTTGTCTCAGTGATAACGAGACCACACAAAATAGATGACAGACAGTAATCTAGAGGAGGAAAAAAATGTTTTCACAATAACAGGTCAAGAACATATTACTAACCCCCAGGAGGTTTTATGCCCCCTATTCTGTTTTTTCTTGGCTTCACTCTTTGAATATATTCTCTGTGCTTACATATCTTTTTGTATGAGTGTGAAATAAATTCCACAATTTATTTGTATCAGGGCTGTTCAGTAAATTTTGAGTCCCAGGTCTAGGAATTTTATTTATTTATTTATTTGTTTGTTTGTTTGTTTATTTATTTATCTCTCTCTCTCTCTTCCATCTGTTGACAAAAGTTTCCTGCTTATGGATATTGTATGAGGGTTAGATATTTTTCTATAAATTGGAAAAATGGAAAATCACTTATTTCTTTGATAGCTGAATCCTATACAGGCAGCTCTCAACTTCATTGACCCCAGAATTATGGTTGTAAGTCATGCCGGTCATTAAGCGGGTCATGTGGCAGTAGTTGTTAAGCAAACTCATTGTCTGTAATGGGCATTTTTGCAGGAAACTGAAAGTAAACATTGTAAATAGCAGTCAGGTGACTACAGAATGCTGCAAACAGCCATAAATGTGGGCGAATAGTTGAATGCCCAAAATGCAATCATGTGACCATGGGTGGGTGGGGATGTCCAATGGGACTTTGAATCCAGGTCATAGTACCATTTTTTGGGCTCCATCGTAACTTTTAATGGTTGTCAAGGAACCGGTCATAAGTCGAGGACTACCTGTATGTAAGTTCTGATGAATTCAGTGGGACTTCCCAGTAAGTATTTGGCCTGCAGAGTGAAGATTGTGATAGAAATGAAAGTTCGGGATAAATTCCCTAGGCTTGATAAGAGATGTTTCTGAAATCTGTTCTTAATGACATCCTCTTCTTTATCAAAAGGACACAAGTTTATCTTTTTATTTTTCACTTTTTATGAAGGAAAGAGCCAGAGCATAGTCTTGTTGCCCAATATATTACCCAACAAATTCCACATGAAGAAAACCTATTTACTTTATCTACCTTTATCAGTCACTATAATTAAATTTGTGTGAACTGCCAATTGCATAATTCTTCTGGATGCAGTATTGTACAATATGCTGATTTTCAGGATACAAGTTTCATACAAATATGTTTCAGAAAAGAGAAACAAGAAAAACTGCAGAATATCAGTAGGCAACTGAAAAGCTGTACAATAATAATAATAATAATAATAATAATAATAATAATAATAATAATAATAATAATAATAATAATAAAGTTGGAAGGGACCTTTGAGGTCATCTAGTCCAACCCCCTGCTCAGGCAGGAAACCCTATACCATTTCGGACAAATGGCTGTCCAGTCTCTTCTTAAAAACTTCCAGTGTTGGAGCATTCACAGCTTCTGGAGGCAGGTTGTTCCACTGGTTAATTGTTCTCACTGTCAGGAAGTTTCTCCTTAGTTCTAGGCTGCTTCTCTCCTTGATTAGTTTCCATCCGTTGCTCCTTGTCCTGCCTTCAGGTGCTTTGGAGAATAGCTTGACTCCCTCTTCTCTGTGGCAACCCCTGAGATATTGGAACAGTGCTATCATGTCCCCCGTCATCCTTCTCTTCATTAAACTACTAGACATACCCAATTCCAGCAACCGTTCCTTATATGCTTTAGCCTCCAGTCCCCAATATGCTAAGATGAACAATATTTGGCCAGTTAGTGCAGCATGTGGTGTAATCTCAGTTAGCATGTTCAGTTTATGGCTTACTGTGTTGGGTACTCCCATGCAATTAGGTTAATTCAAAAAACTACTGAATTCTGTTAACAACGAATTAGCAGCCCAAAGTTTGGATTTAAATATTCTGTTGCACAAACAGAATGCAACTTCAACATAATGCTAGTTTTTGCTCTAAAACATGTCCACTGTAAAAAAATTTGGAGATCCCTACATTTGTCTGAAGCAAGTTTCTCAAAATTAGTTTGGGGTAAGAATTCTTCCTTTTAACAGTGGCATTTTATGATCCAAGCTCTACTCTTTAATTTCTGCATTTTCAAGGACAATATTCTTTTGGGTCTGATGCTTTTAAAATTAATTTTTCAGTTTAGTAGGCACATGAAAAAAGCACTGTAATCTATAAGCTATGTTGCCTCATTTTGATGTTTCATCTTGGTTCTAGAAAAATCAAATTTGCCTGTTCTTGGATGAAATGAAACATGTAATAGTTTTAAATGTTCTGGACATAGAAAAAAGAAGGATACAGGACAAGCTTTTCTGTCTGTAACAGTCAGGACTAGATGGCAGTAGAAAACACAATAAACTCTAAAATGTTGCTGCCATCTAATTGTAATGCAGGGTTTTGCAATCCAGATCTTGTAGCCTTTGGCCCTAGTGTTCCTGAAATTTGCCTTGGAAGTAGAGATGTTCTAAGTCAGTAATGGCGAACCTTTTAGAGACTGAGTACCCAAAAACT